TTGTTGTTATTATTTTTGTACATTTTTATTAGTTAATTGCATTCCCGTTTATTTCAAATTTTACTGTATCATTTTACAGCTTTTTTAGTCATAATTTAAAAGAGATAAATTTAGTTATTAAAGAAAAAGTATAACAAAAAAAAAAATTTTTTTTTATTTTTAAAATTTATTTTTATTAAAATTATCAAATTAAATTAACAGATGAAAAATATTTGGTTGTTTATCTGTCTGAAGAGGATACAGAAATTAACTGTTAAAGTACACTCATCTGAACCAAAAAAGCATAAACCAAAAAAAAAAAAAAAAAAGCTAAGAAGAAATTGACCAAATTTTTTTGTGGTTCTCAAAAAGACAGACATTAATTTGTAGCATTTTCAGCATTGATCTATTGCTAACCACAGATCATTCTTTATCATCAAATTGAACTGAAGCTGTTCATTATCATTGCCAACAGTGTATTATATGATCAGCTTGGCAGTTTCAGAACACCAGTTAATTTAACAGATATTTAATGATCAACCACCTCAAATTATAGATAACTTTATGACAAGAAAGAAATTGTAGATCAAAACACTAGAAATCAATTTATCAACCTATCAAAAAAATTCTTCCTTTGTTTTTGTAATTATAAAATATTCTAATGATTGATCATAGCAACAAAATAATGAAAAATCATAGTTTAAGTATTCAAAATTTACTACGGATATAAAAAGCAGTAGCAAGAATTTTTGGTCATTTTATGCATTTTTTTACAATCATTTACAGAACTGCCGTTCGTTAAATTATCAGAAAAACAGAATTGAGGCTGTTAAACCACAATAATAGTATTTTTGTATGCATTGATAACAAATTTAATAAGTTTAATATAGTAATAATGATAGTAATAATAATAATAATAATAATAATAATAATAATAAAATTTTAAAAAAAAGATTAATTTTTTTTAATTTGATTAATTTTTTTTTTTTTGCATCTATAGACAGTTTATTCATTTATTGTCTTTACAGATTTTTGCAGATTTACTCAGTAAATTAACTGTATGTAATTTATATTTGACATCAAAAAAATTATCAGTTTCTATTAGTTCATTTCTTTCTACTTTTTTTTTTTTTTCATTTATATTTCCCAATTTTTTGCTTTTAACCACTGCTTTTTTAAAAGAGAAATATTTCATCTATAAAAAATACATTCAAATATGTTTTTTTTTTTTTTGTTTATTGTTTTTTGCACTCAATTTCTTGTTTTTTTTTTCTTTTTTGTTTAGCATCTTTTTTGATGTCTATAGAATTGTTCTAACAGATTTAAAAGTAGTTGTTGAAGTAGAGAAGACAAAAGCAAAAAAAAAAAAAAAGTCTACCGCTGAAACATCAGAATTGGTTTTAGAAATATTTTTTTTTTTTTTTTTGAAAAATCATAAAACCAATTATTTGAAGTAATCAAATAAACATTTTTTTTTTTTTT